CTGGCTAACATGGTGAAACCCCGTATCTACTAAAAACACAAAAAATTAGCCGAGCATGGTGGCGGGCACCTGTAGTCCCAGCTACTCGGGAGGCTGAGGCAGAATAGCGTGAACCTGGGAGGCGGAGCTTGCAGTGAGCCGAGATTGTGCCACTGCACCCCAGGCTGGGTGACAGGAGGAGACTCCGTCTCAAAAAAAAAAAAAAAAAAAAAAATCCATTTGTTCAAAGTATAAAAGTATTAAAAAAAAAAAGTATAAAATCCAGAATAAAATCCAAATGCTTTACCATAGCTTATGGGGCTCTGTACAATATGCCCTCTGTTAAACATCTTGATCCCATCTCCCACAGTCTAGCCACACTGGGCTTTTTTTTTTTTTTTTTGAGCCGGGATCTTGGTCTGTCATTCAAGCTGGAGTGTAGTGGTATAATCATAGCTCACTGCAGCCTCAAAGGATCCTCCCACCTCAGCCTCCAACTAGCTAGGACTACAGGCACATGCCACCAGGCCTGGGTACTTTTTAAACATTTTTGCAGAGACAGGGTCTCACCATGTTGCCCAGACTGGTCTCGAACTTCTGGGCTCAAGTAGTGCTCCTGCCTCAGCCTCCCAAAGTGCTGGGATTGCAGGCATGAGCCACCACGTCTGGCCTGGCCTTCTGTTTTTACTTCAAACACCCCAAAGTCATTTCTGCATCAAGGCCTTTGCCTTTGCTGTTCCCTGTGTCTGGAATGCACTTTCTCCGTGTGTTCATATGGTTTGGTCCCTCGTTTAATTTTCTCTCTCTGTGTTACCTCCTCAAAGCAGCTCTCGCTTTGTATCTACCTGTTCTCTTCCCCCTGTCACTCTCTAACCTCTTTTTTCATTTTATTTTCATTTGGAGCACTTACTATTACTTAAAATTATACTACCTATGTATATTGTCTGTCACCCTCAAAGCAATATGTAAGCTCCATATGGGCAAAGATTTTGTCCTTTTTATTGATGTATCTCCAGCTCCTAAAACAGTGCTTGCTCTACACTAGGCACTAAAGTGTTCATTGAAAGTATGCAAAGCTTGGCCAGGTACAGTGGCTCATGCCTATAATCCCAGCACTTTGGGAGGCCGAAGCAGGTAGATCATCTAAGGTCAGGAGTTCGAGACCAGCCTGGCCAACATGGTGAAACCCCATCTCTACTAAAATACAAAAAATTAGCTGGGTGTGGTGGTGGGCACTGTAATTCCAGCTATTTGGGAGGCTGAGGCAGGAGAATCGCTTGAACGACCCGCCCCCGCCAAAAAAAAAAAAAGAAAGTATATGAAGCTTAAGTAAGACAACGTCTATAAAGAGCTTAGCAGGGTACCTGGCACTGAGCAAGCAGCCAGGTGATGCCATACTCTAAGATCTCTCCCTGCCTCTCTGTCATCTCTCCTTAGTCTCCTTGTCTGGCTTATCCTTGTCCTTCTTCACTTAGCCATTCAATGTCAGAGTTCCTCAAGGCTAAGTTCTGGGCCCTTCATCTACAGATTCCTCAGAGAGGTCTATCCTAGCCACCATGTCTTTTTTTTTTTTGGAGATGGAGTCTCCCTCTGTCACCCAGGGTAGAGTGCAATGGTGCGATCTCAGCTAACTGCAACCTCTGCTTCCTGGGTTCAAGTCATTCTCCTGCCTCAGCCTCCCAAGTAGCTGGGATTATAGGAGACCATCACCATGCCCAGCTAATTGTTGTATTTTAGTAGAGACAGGATTTCACCATGTTGGCCAGGCTGGTCTCAAACTCCTGACCTCAGGTGATCTACCCGCCTCAGCCTCCCAGAGTGCTGGGATTACAGGCATAAGCCACTGCGCTCAGCCACCATGTCTTGAGTAGCTCCCCAACTACTGTTTCTATTCAGTACCCCATTTATTTCCTTCATATGATTCATCTCAACCTGTAATTATATGTTTGTTTACTTTTAAGAAAAACAGTCCCTGAGAATTGGGAATTGGCCTGACAATAACTAGCAGGCTTTGGTGTTGCTGGGAGCTGGCCTGTTGCTCATAGTTAGGCCCTGGTACTCTTGTTGAACATAAACTATCTCACAGAAAATCAGTGTCAAACAAGGTCATTCTGTGTTTGTGATGAAGTTAGACAAACTTCAAAATCTTGTCTAAGCACAAAAACACCAAACAGTTCCCTGTCAGCTAAAATGTATTGGCTTTTTTACCTTACAGCTTTAGTCATATTTCATTTCTCCCTCCTTCTAGATAAGATTAAGAAGTAGTCATAGAACAATTTTCTGCTTCTTTTTTTTTTTTGAGACAGAGTCTTGCTCTGTCACCCAGGCTGGAGTGCAGTGGCCGGATCTCAGCTCACTGCAAGCTCCGCCTCCTGGGTTCACGCCATTCTCCTGCCTCAGCCTCCCGAGTAGTTGGGACTACAGGTTCCTGCCATCTCGCCTGGCTAGTTTTTTGTATTTTTTAGTAGAGACGGGGTTTCACCGTGTTAGCCAGGATGGTCTCGATCTCCTGACCTTGTGATCCGCCCGTCTCGGCCTCCCAAAGTGCTGGGATTACAGGCTTGAGCCACCACACCCGGCCTTTTCTGCTTCTTTTGAAATCACCAAACACAAACCCTAACCCTGTCATTCCTAGCCCTCTTTTAGGGAGATAACCTCTGTAGAATTAATAAACTCAGCTTAAATGCTTGCCCATAAGTTGAGGAGCTGTAAGTTAACTTTTAAGAAGTTTCTTCTGGCTGGGCGCAGTGGCTTATACCTGTAATCCCAGCACTTTGGGAGGCCGAGGTGGGCAGATCACAAGGTCAGGAGATAGAGACCATCCTGGCTAACATGGTGAAACCCCGTATCTACTAAAAACACAAAAAATTAGCCGAGCATGGTGGCGGGCACCTGTAGTCCCAGCTACTCGGGAGGCTGAGGCAGAATAGCGTGAACCTGGGAGGCGGAGCTTGCAGTGAGCCGAGATTGTGCCACTGCACCCCAGGCTGGGTGACAGGAGACTCTGTCTCCAAAAAAAAAAAAAAAAAGGAAGTTTCTTCCCAGACAACAGGTGTTCTTGGCTCTTCCTCCATCCTGAGGCTTTGAACATGGATGAGGAAGCCAGAGCTTCACTTTGGACTGTGAATAGAAGTTTGTGGTTGTGAATCTAACAGTTGGGGGTTGAGGTTCTGAATACTCAGGGACCTTGTAATGGTGGCATTGTCACATATCTTGGATTGTTGATTGTCTACCTCTTGACCTGTGAGAGAAATAAACTTCTATCTTAAGACTTCTTTTTAAATGGCAGTTACATAAGCCAGAACTACCTGGAGAAATCTGATACTTTTGTTTTGACCTGTAATTTTCAAATGTCTACTTTTCTCCAACTCTACTACCCAAGTCTATGTCATCATCATGGCTCACTTGTACTACTGAAATAGCCAGTAGCTTTCTAACTAACTTCCAGGTCCAAGGTGGGCCCTCTTCATACAAGCTGATTTTTTTGAAAAGCCAGCCTAAGCCATGATACTCCCGTCTGAAATTCTTCAAAGGCTTCTGTTCTAAGAAAAGAGCCAAATCCTCATGTTCTCCAAGGCCCTGAGTGGTCTAACTCCTCTTTCTTCTGCATCATCTCCCACTGTCCCTAGGTTTCTTAGCTCCTTTTCCCCTAGGTCTTTTAGCTAAGACCTTTGCCTTGACTCCCCTTTCCCACCCCACCTCCTGTTTATCCTTCGGAGCTTGTCTCAGTTGCATCTCCTTCCCCGACTCCCTTTATTACACAACTCCGTTTCACCCTGTCTTCTTCCCAGTACTTTTGGCAGGTTTAACTTTACATGCTATTTGTGGTTATGAGAAACCTGTCTTCCTTGTACATTTTAAATCCATTGGCTTTGGCTGTCAGTTATCTCTAGTGCTTAGTATATTGCCTGGCCCACAGGCACTCTGCAAATTGCTGCTGAAAGACTCCTTCATCATTACCACTCCATAAACACAAACTCTGCCAAGTAAAATACTTAAAAATAACTCCACAGACACCTGGCCTTTCCTTTTTCTTACAAAACTTTGCCCTTGAACATAAGGCAGCTTGGTCTGGTTGATGCCTACAGGCCAATGGAACCTCCATTGGTTTTTTCAGCCTGGAAGAACCTTAAGCTTTGTCTTTCCCCATCACTAGTGTGTATGAACTAAAGAATGAGCTGACTCCACCAGGTGAGAACAGCTTCATCTGTACCTCCAGAGATGACTAGAACACAGGGATTAAAGAAAATGCTGGTTTCCACTGCATTTATTACTAATATAAAAAAATGTTAAAAAGAAAAAAAAAAAACACCTCATTCTCAGTTCTCCAACAACTCTCATCCCTCCCTCTTGCCAATACAACTCCTGACCTGTTTCCTCAGGGCCAGTTCAAAACTGAACCTGTTCACTGCTGTTTTCACAGAAAACAACCAGTGCCAGGGATGTAGGGGAAGAGGGTTGGAAGAAGGCGACAGTACTGTCCAGGTTCCACCCAAAGATAGGCAAGGTGGAGATTCACAGAATTCAAATGAAAGGACTGGTGGCCTCACAATGACATAGTCTAAGTAAAATGGGCTGGAAGGGATCTAGGTAGGATAAAGCCATTGGATGCTTTATAAGACATCTCATGGGCCTGTGTCAGACCCAGAGTAACCAACAGGAGAAGAATGGGGAGGGCCAGGGAGGCAGTCTGATGGAAAGTTCACAATTCTTCCATGTTGGGAAGTGGGAAAGTCCAGAGGGCGTCAAGCGCCTCACTCGTTTTGGCAGGAAAACTTATTCTAGTGCTGGGAAGTCACAAAAATGCCACAGACACTGAGAGAGGCTACAAGGGGATGCACAGTTTCACAAAGCACGGTGATCATAGACCACGGTGGTGGGGATCATGCTACTGACAGAGAAACTACGAAATCCAAAAGCAGGGAGAGTGGCCTTTTAGGAAGTAACTGCACCAGTCACCCAAACTTGACCCCAGGTTAGACAACCTGGCTGAGTTTCACAAGCAGCTGACAACATTGGGGGTAGGGAATGTCACATAAAAAGGACTTAAAACAAGCAGCTAAAAGAAGGGAATGGTAGGAAACCGCTCCAGGGCTCTCAGGAATTGAGGGCAGTACTGGGGAACAGGTGGACAGATGCACAAGAAACAGCACCAAAGAGGTTTCCTGTTCAGCAGTCATTTGATGATGGGAAAGAAGATCCAGGAGGCAACTTAAGGGAGCAAAGATGGGTCCCAAAGGCAAGTCTCTAAAGGCTGGATCAGAAGAAAGCGCATACACCGCGCACCAGTGACGCAACACAACTCTGGACCCCAAACTGGGGAGGTGGTGGATGGGGTGGGTGTGTCACTGACTGAGGGTGCTGGAAGAGCCTCACAGTAGCCATTACAGGGCTACAGAGAAATACATGGCCGCTAGGTCACAGAGAGCTCCTTCCAGCCTGGATGGGAAGGCACAGTCTCACAGAGGAGGTCCATTGACGCCTGGATGGTAGAAGGCACAGAGGTCCTCATATCGACAGTGACCCTTTTTGGCAAAATGTCGGCAGACAGGGCGGTCGGATTTGTCTGTGAACAAGTGAAAATTAAAGTTAAAAATTTGAGCAACAAAGAAAACAAATATGATGAAAAGCAGAGACAGAAGGAGAACTGATTTTCTACCCCCTACCATTTCCAGGTATTTTGGAATGGTAGTTTTTCTCCTGGGAGAAATAACATTCAGGTCTACTTCTGCTTCAAAAGCAAAAAGGAAAGCCCAAAGATCATGAATGATCTTCTGAAAATTAGGTCACTCTGGGAGTAATGGGCGTAACAAAATGGACCTCACCTTCTATAACCTGGGGGTCATCCTTGGGCGGGCAGGTATTCTTGATAAGAGACCAGCTTTTGAGCCTTCGAGGGTTTCTCTGTTCTTTGTGAAAGCTTCCCCTGGTGGGACCCCCATGACCTGGCCCCGGAAAAGGAGGTTCAACATTGACTCCCCACCAACCACGACCATATGGGCTAGACCTAGGGCCAAGGCCTCTCCGAATTGGGCCTCTACCCCAAGGAGGAGGTGGGAGACTCAGCAGTGGTGGAATCAGTGGTCCCCTTGATCCTGGAGGACCTCTGTGAAGAACTGGAGAGAGAGAGAGAGACAGAGAGAGAAAGAAAGACACAGAAAGGTGACCAATGGGCAGCTGAATCCTGATAAGCCCTGATTTAAAAATTTTTTTTTATTGAAGAACAGCAGTTTTAAAGACACACCAGTTTTAAGTGCACAACCCAATTATCACAAAGTAGACACACTTGAGTTTCCACCACCAGGTGAAGAGATAAAGCCTTATTAGCACCTCAAAAGATCCTCCCCTTGTGCCCCTTTTCCCATTACCCACCCTCCTCCCCAAAGGTAACCACTATCCTGACACCATAGGTTAGTTTTTGCCTGTTTTTGAACTTCACAAAAATGGAATCATACAGTCTGCATTCTTTTATGTCTGGCTCCTTTCGCTCAACATCATGTTTGTGAGATTCATCCAGGTTGCCTGTAGCAGTAGTTCATTCATTTTCGTTGCAGTGTAGTCCCATTGCATGCATACACAACAACTTATTTATCCATTCTACTGATGATGGACATGTGGGTGGTATCCAGTTTGGGGCTATAACGAGAAATGCCACTATAAACATTTTTATACATGTTGTTACACATACGTATGCATTTCTGTTGAGTATATACATAGTAGAGGTATTGCTGGGTTATAAAGTATATGTTATGCCCAAGTTTCACACATAATGCCAAATTTTTTTTCATAGTGGTTATAGCAATTTGCACTCCCACCAGTAGTTGTCCTATAGCCTTGACAACACTTAGAATTGTTAGATTTTTAAATTTTGCCGTTCTGGTGAGTGTGAAAAGTGGTGGTTATTTTGTTTGGTTATTATTATTTATTTAATGAGAGATTGGGTCTTGCCACAGTGCCCAGGCTGGTCTTGAACTCTTGGGCTCAAGTGATCCTCCCACCTTGGTCTCCTAAAGTGCTGGGATTACAGGCATGAGTCATCATGCCTCGTTTTGTTTGCTTTTTATTGTGGTAAAAAATACACAAAATTTACCATTTTAACTATTTTTAAGTGTACAGTTCAGTAGTGTTATGTATATTCATATTGTTGTGAAACAGATCTCCAAGTTTTTGTTCGTTTGTTTTTTGAGATGGAGTTTCGCTCTGTCGCCCGGGCTGGAGTGCAGTGGCGCGATCTCGGCTCACTGCCACTTCCGGCTTCTGGGTTCAAGCAATTCTCCTGCCTCAGCCTCCTGAGTAGCTGGGATTACAGGTGCCCACCACCACACCTGGCTAATTTTTGTATTTTTAGTAGAGATAGGGTTTCACCATGTTGGCCAGGCTGGTCTCGAATTCCTGATCTCATGATCCGCCTGCCTTGGCCTCCCAAAGTGCTGGGATTACAGGCGTAAGCCACCATGCCCAATCTCCAAAAGTTTCTTATCTTGCAAAACTGAAACTCTGTACCCATTAAACAAAACTCCCCTTTTCTGTCTTCCTTCCCCCAGCATCTAGTAACGACCACTCTACTGTTTCTTTGAATTTGACTTTATTTTTATTTTTTGTTTTGACAATCTCACTCTGTCATTCAGGCTGGAGTGCAGTGGTGCAATCTTGACTCACTGCAACCTCTGCCTCCCAGGTTCAAGCAATTCTCATGCCTGAGCTACCTGAGTAGTTGGGATTACAGGTATGCACTACCGTGCCCAGCTAGTTTTTCTATTTTTAGTAGAGATGGGGTTTCGCCATTTTGGCCAGGCTGTTCTCGAACTCCTGACCTCAAGTGATCCACTTGCCTTGGCCTCCCAGTGTGCTGGGATTACAGGTGTGAAGCACCACGCCTGGCCCCTGAATTTGACTTTAGACACCTCAGATAAGCAGAATCATACACTATGTCTTTACTGAACATAAAGTCCTCAAAGTTCATTCATGTTGTAGTATGTGACAGCATTTTCTTCCTTTTAAGGCTGAATAATATTCCATTGTATGTCCACGCCACATTTTGTTTATTCTTCCATCAGTGGACATGTGGGTTGCTTCCACCTCTTTGTTATTGTGAATACTGCTGCTATGAACATGAGTCTGCAAATATGTCAAGACCCTGCTTTCCTTTTTTTTTTTTTTTGCTATATACCTGGAAGCAGGAGTTCTGGGGTAGTTCTATTTTTAATTTTTTTGTCATACATACATATTTTTAATTGCTTAAGAGGAATCTCTTCATATTGTTTTACATAGTAGTTTCACCATTTTATAATCCCAGCAGCAGTACACAAGAGTTCTAATTTCAAAGTGGTATATTTTTATCTTGCATTTACTTGACGATTAATGATATTGAGTACTTGTTGATTTAGACTTTTAGTTCATTTAGAGCTCCATTTTAATAAGGTGTCTTTTTTTTTTTTTTTTGGTCGATTTTTCAAATGGCTTGTCTGGAAGAATCCTTTATATATTATAGATACAGGATCTTTATTGGTTATATTTGTTGCAGATATCTTCTATTGTGTAGCTTCCTGTTAATTTCTTAATGGCGTTATTTGGCAAGTTTATATTTTCTTTTCTTTTTTTTTTTCTTTTGAGACAGTCTCACTCTGTCACCCAGGCTAGAGTGCAGTGGTGCTATCTCGGCTAACTACAACCTCCGCCTCCAGGTTCAAGCGATTCTCCTGCCTCAGCCTCCTGAGTAGCTGGGATTACAGGCGCACACCACCACATCCGGCTAATTTTTGTATTTTTTAGTAGAGATAGGGGTTTCACTATGTTGGTCAGTCTAGTCTTGAACTCCTGACCTCCTGATTCGCCCGCCTCGGCCTCCCAAAGTGCTGGGATTACAGGTGTGAGCCACTGCACCTGGCCGCAAATTTATATTTTCTAACGGAGTTCAATTTATCAATCTTTCCTTTATGGTTAGTGTGTATACCTACATTTCTTGTCTGTTTAAGAACTCTTAGCTACTCTTAGAAAATATATTTACTTTCTAGAATAATTATTCTCTTACCTTTTATACTTAGATCTACAGTCCATTATACAATATGATTATGACTACAAGGTGAAATTCCATTTTTTAACATGAATATCCAATTGATCCAATATCATTTATTGAAAAGACCAACTTTCCAGTTCCATCTTCATCATAAATGATGGGCCTGTTTGGGCCTGTTATTGGACTCTTCGGGACATAAGTCCTGTTGACTTATGTCTATCATTGTGTCCAAACCGCATCGTTGTAACTACTGTAGCTTTATAGTAAGTCTTTTTTCCTTCTTGTTGTTTTTATAGACAGGATCTCACTATGTTGCCCAAGTGGCCTCAAAAACTCCTGGGCTCAAAGGATCCTCCTACCTCAGCCTCCTGAGTAGCTGGGACCACAGGCATATGCCACCATGCCCAGCTTACAAATCTTGATATTCATAGTACGCCCTCCCACTTCAAGATTGTTTTGACAGTCTCTCACCTTGATATTTTGCATTTCCCTATAATACTGTGTATTTCCACAAAAGCATTATGGGTGTTCTGACTTGGAATGCATGAAGTCTATACATCAATTTGGGAAGAAGTGACATTTTTACAACATTGAGTTTTTCAGTCAGCAAATATACAACTTCTCTCCATTCATTTAGGGATGGAATCCCTGATCTTTTGATTTTTAAGTCCTTCCTGGGTTTTATCCCCTCCCTTGCTGTCTTATCCGCGACCTAATACAAGGATCAGGGCCCCTTCCTCCTCACCTGACTTAGGGTCGCCAGGTTTTCCATTGGCCATGGGGGGAGGGCCCAGAAGGCTGGGTGGTCCTAAGAGCAGACATGAAAATATGGTCATCAGAATGGATTAAAGGACTGATGATTCTGTTCTTAGGCGTTTTTCTTGTATTACTCATTTCTTAATTCAACCAGTAAAGTCAGGTATATTTTCAGCAGTCTTAGGAGTTCTCACCCCATCTATCTGCTCTTTTTTCTGCAAAGCTGTTTCAGGGTTTGCAAAAAGTAGATATTCAATCAAAGGCGATAATGCAGGAAAAGATACTGACAACTTTTTCTTTTCCTCACCGTACCGTCGCTATCCAAAACAACCTAAGTGTCTCCAGACATAAACCAATCCCTCACCTTAACTGCTGGCCAGTCAGTTCTCTTCTCCTTTCACTCGGCCAAAGGACTAGTTTAGAGAAAGCGGCACCTGTACCTTTTCAGTCAAAATCCGGATACAAACTGTCAACCCAGTCATCGCAATCTGCAACATCTCTACTGCCCCTTTCCCCTACTGTTCTGCGGCTGCGCAAAAGAGCTCTTTACTCTCTCCACCCCCGCCTTCTCCAGAAAGGTTTGGGGCCGTATTGAGGTTGACGGTTCCAGTAAGAGAACTCCTGGTTCAAGGCTCCATTTGAGACAGCCCTGCTGCCATCCCTACCCAGCGCGTGCGCCCTTCCTCCTTCCGTTAGAGCCCCTTCCTTCGCACCTTATTAGCCCCTAGCCCTTCGCCCGGACGGGCTTGACAGGCATGTGCACATCCCTCCCTGACCCCTCACCGATGGGACTCCCATCCTCCTCATCTCCAGTCTCTTCCCGCTCAGGCAGTGGGGGTTGCTGCTGTGTCGGTGGCTGGTGCTGATTCTGCTTCTTTCGTTTCGGCATCGTGGCTGCGGCAATGGCTGCAGCGGGATTTAGAAGGTAGTGAGGAAGGGGCACGCGGGGATTCTGTTTCCGCTTCCGGGGGGTCGGTGGGCAGCAATGCCGAAGCTCCCACCATTCCACTTCCGGAAGGTTGCGGAGAACATCTGTGGCGGCCGCATTCTGGAGTAAACTGCTTCTCTCTGTCTCTGCCAGGCATGGCGGCAACCTCACACCTTCCCTTTGCTGCGTTTCTATAAATGCTTTGAAAAAATTCCTCTCTTCTTCGCTCGCTGGAAAACACCACAACCAGCTCCTCAGAGTGTGTCACAGAGTCAACAGGCTCTCGGGCCAGAAGGCCTGAGAAGAGGACTGTCGCACCGTAAGATCGCCACATCCGGTCCTCGGTTACTATGGTAACAGCTGCAGGCACAACTTTGTGCCCTTTGACCTCCCTCCAAAAGCCCTTGTCCCGCCTGGGTTTCGCTTCTCGCCCGCTTTTGCACTTCTGATCTGTAAACCTGCTCCTTATCATCGTTCCCACAAGGAATTTGGGTCCCAGCAGGTCGGCAGCCAGGACTCTTCAGACCGCCGCCCTCCCCTAAAGACCTCTGACCGTGCCCCCGGTGTAGCCCAGCAACCTGGCTTCATTTCCGGGACGCACAGTCTCGGCTTTCCACTAAGGTCAAGCCCGGGGGTTGGGAGTGTAGCCTCAACGTGTCCACTCCTCCTCTCCCCTAGGTAGTAGGCCCCGCCCTCCGCTCCGCCGCCCCCTCCAGGTGAGTGGTAGCTTCTCCCGGGAGCGCAAGGTAGTGATGACACGCGCTCCCCCCTCCTCCGAACGCGAGTTGGTAGCGTCCGTGACGGAGTTAGCCTGGTCCTCCCACGCGCGCCTCCTTCCTCGCCGCCGGGGTGCTCTCTCGGTGCCACTGGCTCTCACGTGCCAGTAGCCCACCCCGCATCATCCTTTCGCCTCGCTCCTGGAGGGAAGTGACTGTGTATCTCCCCTGTCCGCCTTCCATCGCCGCCGCGGCGGCAATTCGGTCGGGCCCGCCCGCTGACGTCACCTGCTAGCTCCGCCTCCTCTAGGGTCCCGGGCCCCTGCGGCGGGGACTGCCCCGGGGGGCAGTCAGTTGAGGCGGCAGGAGCTCGGCGGAGGGCGGGCCAGGTGACTGGTCCGGGCCATGCCGAGGAAGAAGCCCTTCAGCGTGAAGCAGAAGAAGAAGCAGTTGCAGGACAAACGGGAGCGGAAGAGAGGTCAGTGCGGGAGCTGGAGGAGGAGGCGGGGCTCGGGCTTCCGCACAGCTGGAAGGAGGGGTGTGCCCGCTGCACCTCTGGGGGTCGTGGGAGGGGGTCGTGGGACCGCGCCAACCCTCGCGGCCTATCGCGGAGGGGATCTCCCAGCCCACCCCCCTACATCTGGAAGGGGTGGAGAAGGATGGAGAGTTGGGGGAGGGGAATCCCTCCAGCTCGCACGGGGCGCCGTCCCTACTGCTCCCTGGAGGAGTGATTCCCCCCCACGCACATCCGGGAGGGTCCCGAATAGGGTGGTTGGGAGGACAGAGCGTCGGAAGAAGTTGAGTGGGATGAAGAAGAGTCAGACCGGTGGGGGAGAGGGTCTTATGGCCCCTGAGAGCTGGCCAGCACTGGCGTCACCGGCCCCTCCCCGCAGGGCTTCAAGATGGGCTGCGCTCCAGTTCCAACAGCCGCAGCGGGAGCCGGGAGCGGCGAGAGGAACAGACAGACACCTCGGACGGGGAGTCTGTGACCCATCATATCCGCAGGCTTAACCAGCAGCCTTCTCAGGGGCTGGGTCCACGAGGCTACGACCCAAATCGGTGAGGGTGGGAGGGGGCGCTGGTCCCGGCTTTCCCGCCTACCCGGAAGTCAGAGCTTTGGGGGAAAGCGGGCTGCTGCTGGTGAAGACGGTGGGCCTGCGATGCCACAGTTCTCCGCTAGCCCCTCGGCTCCCCAGTGCGGGCCACAATCTTGCTTTCCAGAGGGGCTGGAGAGAGTTGGGCTTTTAGAAGGAGGAGGCTGAGTATTGCCTGAAAGAAGGACTTGGGGGAAGGCTGACTTGAGAGAGGAGACTTGAACGACGAGAGAATGCTTTGCGAAGTTGATTGTCCAAGAGGGGAGAAAATAGGAGTTTGTGGCCACAGGATTGCGCTGGATGTCTCGGTCCCTGTTCCCTTAGATACCGACTGCATTTTGAGAGAGACAGCAGAGAGGAGGTAGAGAGGAGAAAGAGAGCAGCCCGGGAGCAAGTTCTACAGCCGGTCAGTGCTGAGGTGTTGGAGCTGGACATCCGGGAGGTCTATCAGCCTGGCTCAGGTGAGTGAGGGCAAGACAAGTATTGGGCTGGGGAAGGAGTTTGGAAAGGTAAGAGCCTAGTGTGAGGATGGAGGGGTCTGGGATGTACTCTTGAATCCTGAAAATTCCCTCACACTTGGACTTTTTCCTGATTTCCCAGTTCTGGACTTTCCTCGACGTCCTCCTTGGAGCTATGAGATGTCCAAGGAGCAACTAATGAGCCAGGAGGAACGGAGCTTCCAAGAGTATCTTGGGAAGATTCATGGGGCTTACTCCTCTGAGAAACTCAGCTACTTTGAGCACAATCTGGAGGTGACAGTGTACTCTAGGGACAGGAGTGGGGCATAGTGACCAGTGGTCAAATTGGCTTGGGATCAGGCTTGAGAGGGACTCTGTGTTCAGGTTCTCTTCCTGATCTTGTCTTTTTAGACATGGAGGCAGCTGTGGCGGGTGTTAGAGATGTCTGACATCGTCCTGCTTATCACTGATATCCGACATCCAGTGAGTACTAGGAATAAGGTTGGGCAAGGAGGAGGAGGGAGAAAGGTTTTTCAGGGGCAAAGGTCAGAGGCAAGAGTTGGGAGACAGAGAGGTATCTATTTTCCTGTCTTTCTGACCTCTGCCTAGTGCTGATGTGTGCAGTTAGGAACTCAGTTTTTTATTCTCTCTTATAGCCTGTCACTCCTCCCTTGGCCAGCTCACTCTCCTCTTCAAAACAGCCATGTCCTATCCTTTAACTCATCACAGTTAGACCAACAGAAAATCCAAGTGTGGAGCTCCAGGGGTTCTATGAATGCAATTGGGGGCTTCCTCCTGCCCAGCCCCAAGATGCCCTTTCTTCCTTATCTCATTTCTTTAGTACTGCCGCATCAGTTGCTACAGAACCCACCTGGAATCGTAGAGTAGTAGTTAAGGCTGTAGACTGCTGCTGGACTGCCCTGTATGAATCCTAGCTCTGCAACTTCACTCTTGTCCTCCAGTGGGAGAAAGGGAGGTCTGTGAGGACCGTTTAGGTTGGAGGTCCTTAACAATGTGTACACACACACATGTACTGACACATACATCATGTGCACATCAATATACACAGGCATGTTTGCACACATGTTCACAGTCACATTGTTAACACACGAACATGCACACGAGTGCATGTACTTGCATGTATACACACTTATATAGTTGTGCGCACACAAAAGCAGACTAATTGTTACTCTAACACCCATCCCTATTTCCGATCCCAGCCTTTACCTCAGTGTGCTAAGTGACGCTGTTTCCTTGTCTTGTTTTGGGTTCATTTCCATGTCTAATCATGACCTATAGGAAGCTCCCTGAGACTCAGAAATATTACTAACCCCTGTTTTGTCTTCCTTTTTCAGTTTGGCTGGTTTATAGTTTTTAGCCCAGAATCTGCTACCACCAGGGCCTTGTCTCTGAGCTATGCCTGCTAAGTGGGGAGCTGGAGGCAGAGAACTCTGGGTTGACCTTTCACTGCTCCATCTTCTTATCAACCCTGTCCTAGGTTGTGAATTTCCCGCCAGCACTTTATGAGTATGTGACTGGAGAACTTGGGCTGGCCCTGGTGCTGGTTTTGAACAAGGTGGATCTGGCCCCGCCAGCTCTTGTGGTTGCCTGGAAGCATTATTTCCATCAACACTATCCCCAGCTCCATGTCGTCCTTTTCACCTCTTTCCCTCGGGACCCCCGCACCCCACAGGACCCTAGTAGTGGTGAGTGGGCAATGAGAGAGGGCAGCTTGGGAGAGGTGAGTTGGCAGGGGACAAAGGGGAGAACAGAGAGGCTTGTTGACAAGGGGGCACCTGGTCTTAGGCCTAAGGGTGGTGGGAGAGATGAGAGGCCTAAGCCCATGTGCCAATCCTTTTGTGCCTTCTGATCTCAGTCTTGAAGAAGAGTCGGAGGCGGGGGAGAGGATGGACTCGGGCCCTGGGGCCAGAGCAGTTGCTGAGAGCCTGTGAAGCCATCACTGTGGGGAAAGGTATGTGGCCCTTAGAGGGGGGCTGTAGGAGGACATGGGGAAGACCCAAGACGCAGAATCATTTTGCTCACCTTTCCTGAAGCCACCCGCTGTATGGTGGAGATGTGCAAGAAGCCGGGGAAGGGACAGAATAAGGAGCAGACTGACCTGGTGGGACGAGAGGCAGCAAGTAGTCGGGAGCCTCAGTGGCTTGCTGCCTTTAGCCTTCCTAGTACTTTTCAGAAGCTCAGAGAGATGTGCATGATTCCAGGGAGGGTGGGATCAAGTGACTTTTGGGAGATTCTCTGACCTGCTCTTGTTCAGGTTGGCACTGTACACCTCCAGAGGGTGCCAGTTACATAATCTGTGCAGGCTGCAAGGCACAGTATGTGCCATCATACACAGCAGCCCTGGGGAGGACCTCTTTAATCTTCTCCTTCTTTGAGCAGTGGACTTGAGCAGCTGGCGGGAGAAGATTGCTCGGGATGTAGCGGGGGCCACCTGGGGTAATGGCTCCGGGGAGGAGGAGGAAGAGGACGATGGCCCAGCAGTCTTGGTGGAGCAGCAGACTGATTCAGCAATGGAGCCAACCGGCCCAACCCGAGAGCGCTACAAGGATGGGGTGGTGACCATCGGCTGTGTGGGTAAGGAAGTGGCAGCTTGTGCGTGGTGGCCTCCAAGGAGGTACAGAGTTTTCATATTTGGAAAAGAGAGAGGGTGATCATGTTTCATTAGGCCCCAGGGTGTCTGAGGGGTGATCTCTGCCAGTGGTGGTGGGCAAGGCAGAAGAAGCATCTGCTGCAGTGGAGGGATCATTGACAGCCTGGGTTAAATTCAGCCTCTTCTCAGCTGTGAGGTCTTGAGCAAGTGATTTTGCTACTCTGAGTCTTAGTTACTTTGACTTTTTTTAAAAAAGGCCATTGATACCTGATTAAAAGAATGGATGTGGGCCATTTGTGAGAGCTTATGCCTATAGTCCCAGTGCTTTGGGAGGCTGAGGTGGGAGGATTGCTTGAGACCAGGAGCTCAAGACCAGTCTGGGCAATATAGTGAAACCCCAACTTTACAAAAGATAAAAAAAATATAGCCAAGTGTGGTGGTGTGTGCCTGTAGTCCATGTTACTTCAGGGGCTGAGGCAGGAGGATCACTTAGCCCAGGAGTTCAAGGCTGCAGTGAGCTGTGATTGTGCCACTGCACTCCAGCCTGGCTGACAGAGTGAGACCCTGTCTTTAAAAAGAATGGATGTGAGGAATGACGGGAATAGTGTTGAGAGAGCCTAAGAATATCTGACAAATAGTGATAACAGTAATAATTATCATTGTTAAAACTTAGTGTTTATATGGTGCTTACTATGTAACAGGCACTGTTTTAAGTGGTTTATATAAACTATTTG